AACTTCGGGGCAACTGGCTCCATCGCGTATACATCCCTTAGCGCACGCTTCCGCTCCCTTTTGGGTATGTGCATTGCGTATATCATGTTCACCGTCCGCACCTGTGGGGGGAAACCCTTCTGTCCTCTATTGTTCGGCGGTCGGGTCTCTTCCTTGTCATCGCTATGCAGCCCCTTGTCATTGTTTTCGGTAATTAACTTGCCTGCCTGCTTGAATACCCAACAGTCCCTGTTGGTGTGGTTAGCTGGCTTTTCGGGGGTGCCGTGTATCTGGCACAAGCGGTCGAGTATTCGGTCCAAATTGGACGGACCCGGAGCAGTTCTTTTGAATGGCTTTTTCCGCTGACCGGGTTTAGAGCCTCTGAATCCAGCATTGACTGTCGCATCCTCACTATTGTTGCCGTTAATGCGGCGTTTGTTTTTGTTATGACGCGACCTGCCACTATGGTCCTTGATGTCCGGACTGCCAGAATTTTTGCTGAGGTTATTGCTGCGTGCTAGCCAGCTGTCCTCACCCGCGCAGAAGCGAGTCATGAGTGATGTGAGGGCTGCCATGGATTTCGGCTTTTCCTGTCCCAGGTATCGGGCAAGCTACTCGTCGCGGATATTATGCTTGAAGGCCGCGAGGGCCTCCGCATCCGGACAGTCGACGATTTGGTTTTTCTTGGTTAAGAACCGTGTCCAGAATTGTCTGGCCGATTCGTCTGGCTGCTGAATTATGTGGCTTAGGCCATCAGCGTCTGGTGGTCGCACATACGTGCCTTGGAAGTTATCGAGGAATGCGGCTTCCAGGTCTTCCCAACTCCCAATTGACTCTGCTGGCAAGCTGTTAAGCCAATGCCGGGCTGGTCCTTTAAGCTTGAGGGGGAGATATTTGATGGCGTAAAGATCGTCATCACGGGCCATGTGGATGTGAAGAAGATAGTCTTCAATCCAAACCGCGGGGTCTGTTGTGCCATCGTAAGATTCGATATTCATGGGTTTAAACCCTTCGGGGATTTGATGATCCATTACTTCATCTGTGAAGCATAGTGGGTGTGCGGCGCCTCTGTACTGGGTGATATCACGACGGAGCTCAAAAGAGCTTTGTCTGTTTTGTTCGGCCCGGCCGGACTTACTGTGTCCGGTGCGACGGTTGTCGTCACGTACCGTGGGGCGCCCACGCGATCCATAGATCGATCTTGATTGTCTTGCCTTATCCTCCAATATATCTCGCAAGTCCTGAGCGTTCCCCTGTGGCCTTGTGCTTTTCGAGCGATGCCGAGGTACGGGTCTAGTGAAGGGCCTAGAGGCCTCTGTCACGACCACGGGGTGGTCGGTCAGCCGTATTGTCTCCTGGTGATGCGAGTTCATACGCTTCCTCCTCTAATCGGGGGAGCAGCTTGCGTTTAGGGTAGCTTTTGGAGGGGCGTTCGAGCTCATGCTCTTCGGCCGCGAGGACTTCAGTCCATCTGTCGGCTAGCAGATCTTGATCAACTCTAAGCTGTTGCTGCTTTTTCTTGAGGCTGTTCGCCATGGCCATAAGCCTGCGTTTAAAACGCTCTTGTTCGACGGGATCCTCAGGCACGACGAATTCATCGTCGTCGAGGCTTGCCTCGTCTCCGGAGGGAGGCATATAATCCTCTACCTCTTCTTCTGCCGCTCTCTCATGAGGGCTGGCGTCTCCGTCCTCCCGCGCTGGATCTTGCTGGAGTGGGTTGTCTTCGGCACTGTCCGGTGTATTATTGTCTCCGGTGCCGGAATCTTCATTCTTGCTGTGGCGGGATTTAGAGCGGCGCCGCTGACGCTGGCGCTTGGGCTGTTTCTTGGAGGGGTCATCCTCCGCTGTTCCTTCGCCATTCCCATCCTTTGGGATATCCACCATGTATACGTCGTGAGTTGGGGTGGCTTTCCCGTGCCCGGTAGGCGCTGGTTCTTGGTCGTCTCCGGCATCGTCGTCCATACCGTCGATGTCTTCGGAGTCATAGTTTAGCATGTCGGTTAGATCGTCGACAGTGGCTACTAATTGGGTGGTGGGTGGGCTTTGAATTTCTTCGTCGTCCGCATCCCAACTGTCCTGGCCGCAATCCGGCCAGGGCTCTCCTGATAACGAGAGATACTTTAGCGAACTCAAGATGTCGCCGAAAGGTGAGCGTTGAAAGATGTCCGCTGCGGTGAACTCCATGATCGACGCCCAATCGGATTCGATCGGAGGGGGCGCGGGAGGTTCGGAGTCCGGCGAGGAGTCCGGCACCTCGGAGTCACGAGCTTTATGAGGGACAAGGTCAGTGTTCGGCTCTATCGCCGTAGAGGTTGCAGCCCCCGAGGCGGTGTCTAGCCATCCGTCCTCGATCTGCGCAACCGGCTCCGAATTGAAGATCGGAGCAGGTTCGAGTGCGACCTCCAGGGTACTGTCCGGCTGCAGAGCTAAATCATGCTCGTCGTGACAGTGTGGCACGCTCGGCTGTGGCTCGAATCCATCGAGGATCAAGTCCCCGCGGATGTCGGCCGTGAAGTTCAAACTTCCAAATCTGACCTGACGGCCAGGGGCGTAGCTTTCGATCTGCTCCAGTTGGCCAAGCGAATTGGCCCGCAGTGCGAAGCCGCCGAATATGAAGATCTGTCCGGGGAGGAAGGTCTCACCCTGGACTGCGTCGTTGAGGTGATCGAAGAAGCCATCGAGCCTATCGGTGACGACACAGAGGAACTCTCAATGAAAGCACCAATATCGGTGTCAAAACCGGCGGATCTCGGGTAGGGGGTCCCGAACTGTGCGTCTAGGCGGATGGTAACAGGAGACAAGGGACACGATCTTTTACCCAGGTTCGGGCCCTCTTGATGGAGGTAAAACCCTACGTCCTGCTTGATTAATATTGATGATGTGTGTTACAAGAGTAGATCTACCACGAGATCAAGGAGGCTAAACCCTAGAAGCTAGCCTATGGTATGATTGTTATTCGTCCTATGGACTAAAGCCATCCGGTTTATATAGACACCGGAGAGGGCTAGGGTTACACAGAGTCGGTTACAATGGTAGGAGATCTACATATCCGTATCGCCAAGCTTGCCTTCCACGCCAAGGAAAGTCCCATCCGGATACGGGACGAAGTCTTCAATCTTGTATCTTCATAGTCTTGGAGTCCGGCCGATCACGATAGTCCGGCTATCCGGACAACCCCTAGTCCGGAACTCCCTCAAAAGGCGTGAAGTCTTCACACACATGCCCGTAATGACTAGCACTCTCGGGCCACAGCCATTGTGCGTTGAACCCTTGAATCGATTTAAAAAACCTGATACCACATCTTGTTGTCATGTACGCACGAAGAGAAATTCTAACTTCGTCTCCCCGACGAGCTGACAGAAATCTTTACCGGGGCTCTATCTAAACCATCATGGCGGAACATGAGGAGGATCGGGGGCCAGAAGATTGAATCGAAGAAAAAGCGTCGATATCCGTTCGAGGATCGTTTCTGCAAGGAGTAAAACAACTTATCTACTGCCCGGAGTCGAGGCACCAGGATTCCCTCTATGACACCGGTAGTTGGAGAGGCGGGCAGAGGGAAGGTGAATCCACGGGTTCGCCGGCGAAGATCGAGGGGAACAACTACCACTCATGGATGGTTCTAGATGATTTGGTGTGGTTATCATCTCCAACGGGATTAAGCATGTCCCCTCACCTCCGACCATTGCTCTAGTGTTGTTGGCAAAGCTTCCTACTTTCGCTTGTGGTGGGTTTTTTTTGTACTTGTTCTCTCTGTTTAGGTGTCCTACTAGCGACATCATGGAGACGTAGTCATATGGAAATGAGCCCTCGGGGCCTCCTTGTCGCAGCGACGTCTTCTTCAGTGTGAGGCGTGCCCCCTGTGAGTGTGTTCTCATGGGTCTCGTTTACTTGATATCGCGGGTTATAACATCTAAAATCTCGCCATCTGATTGTTTGATATTATTCTCCTTTCTTATTAATTTTAGATACATTTTAAAAACAATTTTGTTTGTTTGTCAAAAGCATGTTCTTTTGCGGGAAAAACCTCATTTGAAGATTGCTTTTGGCATATATAAATATCTTTTGGTATTTTACCTGGCAAAATGTTTGAATTGAGCGAATATCCATTTCTGAGTCAAGGCTCATCTGCACTCGGGGAAGAGAAAATTCACAAAAAATACCAAACAAATCCAATTTTTTTTTGCAAGGAAGATAATTGGTGTGTGAGGTGCACTCCAAATTCCAGTTCATTTTTGGACATATGAGTAGCTCTTAGGAAAAAAAAGACAAATTGGGCCAGAACAATACATAAACAGTAAGCTTTTCCACATGCCCCAAATTTGTCTTTTTTACTGAGAGCTACTCAGATGTTTGAATGATCTGAATTTTCGAGGGCACCTCACGCACCAAATTATCTTCCATGCAAAAAAATCATTTTTTGTGAATTTTTCTAGTATTTCTTTCGAATTTTCTGTTCATCGCGGGTGCAGCTGAGCCTGGGCATCGAATCGCGTCGTCCTGAATTGAGCTCCTTACTAATTTTTCAGATTATTAGTTCCTTACTCTGATTTTTTTTTACCGAGTTCCCTTGCTTCTTCAAGGTATTGGGTCATGTTTGGAGATTTGGATTTAAAGAAAAATCAGCGAAGAAGCAGGCGGACACTACTGACTGAGTGTGTGGCTGGGCCTGGGCTCAGTAGCGCTCACTTGGTCAGACGGTCCAGTTCGGGCAAGCCACTCCACGCTCCAGGCTCCACTCCCGCCCGCACGACAGCAGCAGCAGCAGGAGCGGCGGCCTACTCACCGGCGCGGACGCCGGACGGAAAATCGACCATCGCCCCCGGCGCGGTCTCTCTGGTACCTTCCTCTTCCTCCCCCCGTCCGTTTTTGCTCGCTCAGGCCATCTCCTCCCCTGCTCCCGCCGTGTCCGCTGGCTATGCACGCTAAGTGTTCGACGCAATGCTTGCCGCGTTTGGGGTTGGTTGCGATGTTCGAGGAACGAGAGCATTCGATGATGATTTTGCTTCTCTGCAGGACTGATGGCAGAAGAGAAGAAACCACACTCCCAGCCACCGCCGTCGTGGTCAGGCCTCCCGCTGGACCTAGCAGGCTTGGTGCTCAGCCTGCTCCCCGTGTACGCCGACCGCGCCTGCTTTGCCGCGGTGTGCCCGCAGTGGCGTGCCGCCGCGAGGCAGCTCCAGCCGCCACCGCTGCCGCTGCTGGCACTCCCCGACGGCACCTTCTACAGCCTCATGTACGACAAGCCCTTCCGCTTCCCTGGTTGTGGCTTCGCTGGGTACGAGAATGTCTGTGGCAGCTGGCTCGTCTTCTCACGCGATGACGGATGCTTCATGGTCAACCCCTTCTCCCGGGCCACCGTGAGGCTCCCTGCTCTCTCAAGTGTACGACTCCGGCCTCCAAATGCGTCTGCTAAATCTAAATGGGCAGAGGGCGGAAGTGTAGAATCTGCTAACCTCTACATCACATGGATGCGTATCAATAAAGCAGACAACCTGCGCATAAGTAAGCTAATCCTGTGCTCGCCAAATCTCGTTGCTGCACTAGTTGGCATTGGATCCTTCAGCCAGATTCTAATGTGCCAGCCAGGGGCCTTGTCATGGTCAGTACGTGCGTATGATCGGATCGAGGATTTCCAAGACATGTCATTCTACCAGGGCAAGCTGTACGCCATTGCCAAGGACGAGAACCTCCTTGTGGTGAACATCAGCCAGGACCAGAGCACCGGCGATCCACAGGTTTGTCGGATTGGACGAGTCATCGAGGGTGATTGTCCTACATGGTATGATGGTGTATTCGAGGACAACAGTTCGGCCTGCAAGAAGCTCTACCTGGTTGAATCGCGTGGGATGTTGCTGATGGTACGCAGGACGATTTGGTGTCAGTTTCCTGAACCTGGAGGGGACGGTAGAATTATGGGTGGACAGAATGAGTTCGAGGTTTTCGAGGCTGACTTTGAGCATTCACGGTGGGTCAAGGTGTCGACCGTGGGGGATGACCAAGTGCTGTTTCTGGGGCGAAGGTGCTCGAGGTCCATGTCCGTGTCGCAGTACGGGTTGCCGGGCGATCGCATCTTCTTCTTGGATGATGATGAGGATAATCGCCTAGACTATGCCTATGATGAGGAGAACACTACTTTCGGCGTCTATTCCATGAGATTCCGCAGCATCGGTTCCGGTGATCCAAACATTTCCTGGAAGCGGTGCGCTGAGATGTATCTGGCAGCATGGCTCTTCCCTCAGGACCGTTGAGAGGTTGTTATACTGTTAGCCGGCCCGTTATCGCTATGCAAGCTGCTCCCTGCGGGTTATCTGACCATGCTATGGATGTTGTTGTTCGTGGTTTGGTTGTCTTACCATGCTATAGATGTTGTCGTTCTGTGGTTATCCTGCAAGCCGGGAATGCTTTGGTATAAATTATGTGAACTTGGTTACTCTGTGTAAGTGGAGTGCATCAGTACCTGTATGAACTTATTGTGGTCGTCACTACTACTACTATGGAAGCTAGCTGTTATCTGCACAAAGAGGTTTGCTGCTACTGTGGATGAATGAGTGATCTTAAAATCGTGTTGCTGCTTATCTCTGGCATGGTGGTCTCTTTCTTGGTCTTTATTGTCACCCTGTAGCTAGCAAGTTAGTTGCTCATCTTCATTCTTCAACGTCAGGTAGTTTCATGCTCAAGTTGCCAACTTGCGATGAACCTCCCTCTTTGGTCCCATGAAGGAGGGGATTGCTACAGCCAAGTGCCATACAGATACAAGACATGGCGCCGAATGTGTTCAAGGCCTTGCTGAATTTCGTCTACACCGACTCGATGCCCAAGATGGGAGGTGGAAGGGGAAGCAGGGGAAGTCGGCGCTGAGATTACGTGGCTGCGACACTTGCTTGCCGCGGCGGATAGGCTTGATACTGTGACTCTTGTTCCTGGAATGTCTCACTATATTGGTACCGTGTGTAAATCTCATGTTAATTGCTCATGCAATCCCCGGCCAGGGAAAATGCAGAACCGAGGGTTGTTTTCTATCTACTCTCACTGAAAGCTGTTCAATCTGCAGCTTCAGCTAATGAGTTACCAAGACGCGATCCCATTCCCAAGCACACATGAACTGTACAGATCGGTGTTGCATTTGCCCAAGCGAGCTCCCATATATCGTCATGCTACGGCATCACGGCCACCTCCTTGTGGTCGTTGGCCGGGTACGACGGAGACTCCTCGGACGTCTCCGTCTCCGACCGCCGCTCGTCGCCAGCGGCCGCCTCTTCTTGCCGGACGACGTGGTTCCACCTGTCCTGGAGGAGGTAGACGAGCGCCACGGCGGAGACCTCGGCGGTGAGGAGCGCCGTCCAGAGCCCGACGCTCCTGCCGGTCCTCTCCCGGTACGTGTGGAGGCCGATGTAGACGTTGGCCACCCCGACCACGCACACCGCCACCCCCAGCAGCCAGTGCGCCAGGTACCACACGCTCCTCGCCTTCACGCCCCTGAAAAGAAGACATCACAAACCTCCATTCAGTCAGGGAGCACACAAATTTCAGTCAGGACTCAGGACTGAACTTTGGTCGAATGTATGCGTCAGTCAAGCTAACAACCTGTCGGGCCTGAGGAAGCCGATGAGCGGCTGGAGCCAGACGAGGCCGTAGAGGGCGACCCCGATCCTCTGGTGGGTGTTGTTGAACGCGTTCTCGAAGTTGGTGATCGACAGCGCCGCGGCGGCGGTGGCCAGGGCCACGCCGGCGACCTGCGCGGCGACGTGGCAGTAGAAGAGGACCCTGACGGCCTTGGCGCTCTTCACGTTGCTCGAGAACCTGATCAGCAGCACGCCGATCGGCATCAGGAAGCCGACGGACGACCAGAGCAGGAAGGCGTGGAGCTTGAGCTGCAGCGACAGCTTGGGCGTCAGCTGCAAAAAAAGAGCAGTTCATCCAAGTGTAAGTTTGCAGTCAGCCAGATTCTTGCAGAAAGAATCTCTGAAACTTACTGACAGGGGAGAAAAGGAGAACTTCACAATCATTTTACCTCCAATGGCTGAACGATCTTGTAGCTTTGGTTCAGACCCTCGAGGCTATCTGAAGCGCCATGGATTGAGCTTGCAAGCAAGAGAATCACAAATCCTGACACTGCAGGAAGCAGTCTTTGTCTTCCAAACAGTAGCATTGATGCTGCTGATTCAGTCTCACTCGGACCTCGGCAAGAACAAACACCTCCAAGAAGATCGAAAAGAGCAAGCAACTGGACCTCTTGAGCAGCAAAAGATGAAACCGAAAAAAGATCGATCGATGCCAGCAATGGAAGAAGGAACAAGCAACTGAACTGAACCTTTGAACAGAAAAAACAAGACGCGCGTACGTACGCCAGCAATGGCAGAAGGAGAAGAAGATGAATGAACAGGACAAGCTTCAAGTCTCTGCTCTCTCTCCCGCTACCACCTCATGCTACTAAACCCATCCAAGCCATTCCTTTCTTGCAAAGCTCCCCCTCACCTTAAATACCAGGGCATTTGAACAAGAGAAAAAGAAACCAAGACTGAACTAAACAATGCGCGCAGAGACCAATCGACGCCGGCGAACCGCCAACCCTCGGCGTGATGCGGCGACCGACCGAAGAAACTTGCGGGGGAATGCAAGAATCTGGCTTGCAAGTTCAGGAACGCAAGATTTAGCCGGTCCAAGAGGATAACTTGGGAGGGGCGTCCTATGCTAGCTACCACCTATCTCTCCTTTAGCAAGCCGGATGAAATGATTTGGGCATCAGAGGCCGCTTTTGCCGCCTAGCAGCAACCGTGGTGTAGCACGGTGGACTTCTGGGGAATTGGGATGGAATAAGATGGGATATGAGCAGGGCTGGGCGTGCTTTTGAGCACATTTTTTGGCCTTTTACAGCTCTGAGGGTATGATATGATGGAGTGGAAGGGTGGCTTTTGTGGTGGTGGTGGTGGTGGAGCTGCAGGAAGCACCCAAACAAGCGAGATATTGTTGGATGCTGCATCGGCATCTAGTGAGGAATTTTTCTTTGCAGAAAGCAAATTTGGAAAAAAGCTGGGTGTTGTTCAACTGCGCCATTGAGTTTGTTTGGCAAAGTTGATCGTGTCTTTTGATCAAGATCAGCGCAACTCGGCGCAAAGGCATCTGCTGCTTTTGTTTTTGTCATGGCATTTTTTGCTTTAGTTTTGTGTTCCTTTTATGTTTTCTGATGAATAGCAGAATAGGCGACGTCATGGCTTTGCTTATTGACACCATTCACACACATGTGTACACTCTACACAATTGACAACAAAATACGTGCATCTCCTACTGTTTGTGTTGTTCCTACAAAAATTTAAGTTCACTGATTCTGTTGACATGACCCTGCAGATACAACCATTTCATCGGATTAAGAGCGCATGCCACCGTGAAGTTTGATCTCCCCGATTGTACTATCGGAATTTGAACTGGAGAGGACAAGTGCATTCAAGATCATCTGCTGCCCATTTGCTTCCGACGTCGCGACAAAAAGGCCGGATCGAGATCTTGGCATCGGAGCAGTTCTTCAGGTTGCTTAAACAGCGGGCTAATGCTGAAAAGACCACCATCAGCGCCGCAAACCGAACCGTTGCCTGGCAGGAGCTAGTGAGTTCTAGGTCCAGCCATCCCCTCCCTTTGTCGTGTCAGCTGGTCTCCCAACGACTCCATTGCTAGCTAACCTACCTAGCTCCTTCTCCACATCCGTCCATGGCGATCCATCCGTGCGAGATGCCTGGCTGTCTGATGAGGAGGAGCCATCGTGCGTACGTGGATCACCTTTGGCTTTAGGCAGGTCGATCATGTGACCGGTTTTGCATGGAGATTAGATTAAAGAAGGATTAAAGCAAAAGCTTTGATCAGGAGGGGTTGAAAAGGATTCGCTGACAATGGAAGCTGCTGCATGGCCAAAAGGCTCGTGCTAGTTGCTAATGGAAGGGTCTGTTAGTGAGTCCCTGTCAGTCACAGACAAAGCGTATATACGCGGTCCTGCTTGACGGAGAATTTCGCTGCCCTAACCAAGCGGAAAGCGGCGACGTACGTACTCTTGCACCATCCTAATCCTATCGGTATCGTATATCAGATCCACTGATAGCCGGATGATGGGGCTCGGTTTACGTACGCTCGAGATATAGCAGGAGCACTCGATGTTTTATTAACAAAAAATGACACTGTGAGCAAATTTATACTCGCTCCTCCGTCTCATAATATAGTATCTTGAGAACTAGGCTGTAGCCTAGTGGCAAGGGAGCGCAGTGGCGTCTCCAGCAACCAGGGTTCGAGTCACGTCGGGGACGAATTTCTGGTTTCTCACAAGGGATACTTTCTCCTATATCAATAAACCATGGGTGCTAGTGCCTATGAGTTTCATCTCATAATATAGTATCTTATATATACTTCCTCGGTTCACTTTTATAAGTCGTTTGTTTCAGACAACTGAAAATGGGCTGCTTTGCACATTGTCTGGAATGTCTTCAACGTCTCATAAAAATGAAGAGAGTGAGTAGATTAAGATAGAATGATGGCTTGTCTTGATCTCTTGTGTACTGAAATGAATAATGAGCAACCGACCGACCATCTTGGCCTTCTTTTCAGCCTTTTCTCCAAAGTAGAAGCACATCATTACATTAGTCCTCTCCTCTCAAAGCAAATGATACCTTAGCTAGATAGCTTAGGCTGCTAAGAATCCAGCAGGCAACCAACGGTGCACGTAACCTGCCACGGTTCGTTCAGGCTGATGAGAAGAAAATTTCAGACAGGACAGGCACATGATGGAGAGGCTATGTACGAGTTCCATTGTTTTTCTGCGAGTGCACTCATTACGCCATGGGCCAGCGCGCGCACACACACGAAGTCCATGGCACAAAAACTGGTGTTGAATAAAGCATGGCGGCTTGGGCCCTGGGGAGCAGCCTTGCATCCTCCATGCCACACTGAGCTTTCTAAAATTCTAGTAACAAATACTCGAGCTTCATCAGCTTACCATGCGTGATTTGAAGGCACTGTTACACGGGCGCGAGGCTGGTTATTTGGAAGAACTGTGCCCCGCCGAAATGCAAAAAATAAAAAATTGCTTGGCTTCTTTTTCCGTATAGAGTTTGGGCGGTGGATCGACTCCAAAGAATTGATTGGCCAAATTGTGGCCATTGTCATCTACTCCCTTCGTCTCATAATGGAAGACTTTTTTGACACTACACTAGTGCCAGAAAACGTTTTACATCATTGGACAGAGGGAGTATGTAGGAGGGAGCTAGAGGCCGCCGCCCACATTCTCTTCAAGTGTCGCCTCTCCATCGGTCCATCCGTACATGGTCTATGATTTGAGATTGGCTAGGCCTCACAAGCTTGAGCATTCACACTTGGGCAAACCACAACTCTGTCTTGGAATTGTGTTTTTTCGTGACTTACCCCCTAGGCCACCTGGGCAAAAGCCATGGCATATTTAGTCATGCTAGTCTCTTGGGAGATTTGGAACCAAAGATATGTCTAGGTGTTCCAGAATAACTCTACAAATCCACCGCCTACTATTATTT